GAGATACACTTCATTAACTGAAATGATTCCTCCTAACAGCTGGCATTCATATCTGAAGTAAAGCTCAACAACAAAGTTTTGGAACCTCAAAGGGTCCTGTTCAGATTCCACAGACCACACTCTCCCTGACAAGATACCGGGAACTGAATTTCTGCAACTCAGGGCCTAAGGATCAGAAATCCAGCTTAGCAATTACATTGCTCAGAAGGATGAATAAAACCGGAGGTGAGCAACTCCCAAAGCTCATTACCACCAAAATATCCCAGCAGGCTGGGAGTCTGCTGATCTCTCCATGATTCACTCCTGCTCACCTCCACCTACCTTACCTCAATGGGGCAAGAATTTATGGACAGTACAAGCTCAGCTATTGTCTGGGCGAGAGTTTATCATGACAACACAACTTCCCTTATTGTGCTCATTAGCTTAAGAATATTGACTTAAAATCACATTTCCTGGCCAACAGGATCCCGTCACCCAGTGACCTAATCATGAGCTATGCAACTGCTGCCAGACTTGTCCAGCTGGCATTTCCAAGCCTACAAGGGCTGCCCCATCCCAATTCTGATGCCAAATTGTAAGAAAAAAAAATTGGAATGAGCATTTATGAGCCAATACTGTAGGACCCTGCAACCTCGCTCCCTCAGATACCTGGGTGCCCGTCTTGCCCCTAGACAGTCCTTGCCCTTGCAGATAAATTTGTGGGCAATGACAAGACAGCATGTCATGGTCTAGGATGCAGTGAAGACAGGTGCACCTGATTCCCAGCACTTTCCCTTTCTAGAAATGAAGCCTGTGGCTTGGCTCCCTATCCCCAAGCCCCCACCAGGGACAGGCCTGCACAGGAGCCTCCCCTACTACTCTCTGCTCTACCTGTCTTAGAATTTCTCTTTCATGCTTGGCTGCAGGTATAAAATATGCCCTGCACTGCTGGTGAGGGAAATTGAAAACAGGAAAACCACAATGAAAATCAGTGAAACAAAAAGTTGTTTCTTCAAAAAAAAAAAATCAGTGAAGTTGATAAAGCTCTAGCAAGACTGACAAAGATAAAGAGAGCAAACACACATCACTTACACCAGGAATGGAACAGGGCCATCACTACAGACCCTGCAGCCACTAAAGAATCACTGACATGTACTACCAGCATTATATTCACATATTCAACAACTCAGAAGGCACAGACCAATTTCTCAAAAACCGCAAACCACCATGACTCAGTCAAGGTGAAATAGACAACCAGAATGTTCTTAAAACCATCAAAGAGGCTGAATTTGTAATTAAAAGCCTCCTGAAAAAAAAACAAGTATCCAGGTACAGATGCTTTTACTGGCAAATTCTACCAAATATTTAAAGAAGAATTAACAAAAACTATATGCTTTCTTTCAGAAAACAGAAGAGGGAAAACTTCCTAACTCGTTTTATGTGCTATTACCTTGGTATCTATGTAGTATTACCTTGGATTCAAAAGGTAAAAGGAAGAGAAAGAGAAAGAGAGGGAAAGAAAACTACAGACCATTATCTCTTCTGAACTGAGATGCAAAAAATACTTTAAGTAAATCGAATCCATCAGTGAGTAGAAAGAATTATACACCAGAACCAAGTAGGATTTACTCCAGGTATGGAAGGCTGGTTCAATCTGGGGAAATCAATCAATGTAATCCACCATGCCAACAGAGTTAGCAAGTGGCAAAGCAGTTTCCTGCTGCTCCTTCGACATCTGAATCAAGACACTGCCATGGTTGGGTGGAAATGTAAGCCATTATTCTGGCCAGGCTGTCTGTCCATGCCACTCCAGTTCATACCCCAACGTGGGGACAGGACCGTGAAAATGCATGCTTGGATTAGATCTGAGCAGAGCTGTTTACACACAGACTACAGGCAACAGTACCCCTTTATCCATCCACTGACCCAGCACCAGGGAAGCCAGGACAGACAAGCAAGCCCATGTCTACACAAGACCTCAAAGGCTCTGGAACCAAGTTACCTCATACCTTTCCCACCATGAAAGCAAACAACTCTACTTTGGATCAAACAAAAAGGCTCTGCCAAATTTCAACTTGCTTTGTGCATCTAGAAAGTAATGAGCCAGACGCACCCCTGGTGAGTCCAGAGTAGGGCAACTCCAGCTCATCTCAACCCATCATGTTCACTCCATCAAGGCTGAGCCTTGGGTGCTTCTTCTACCCACGAAACCCACTCCAAAGAGAGAATGGCTTGGAGAGAGAAACTCTACAGGATCTTTGGACCTTCTGAGATTAAAATGTATGAAAATCTTGTTTTTACTGTAAAACTTCCCTGATTCAGCTCCTTTTCAAATTAAAGATGCCCTTAAATCTTTTGCAGTGAACTTGGAACACTGCAAAATTTAAATTTAAGTTCAACTGGCTCTGAAATTGTGAGTCAAAGGGGTGTCATTTCACCCCTGCACTGCTGTGGCTGGGCACATGCATGCAGGTTTGCACAAAGGTGGGGCTCCAGAGGTCTTTCAACCTCTCCGGACTCTCCATATCTCAAGTGGAAACAGACCACAAGCTGCCTAGGATTTCCTTCAGGAAATTCATGCAGTAAAGTCAAGAATCCTTAAGCCAACTCGCCTAATGAACAGAAGCGCTGATCTGCTCTTCCTGGGTAAAGATGGGGGCAGAAGAACAGTGTGCCATGCGTCTGTGCTGGGGTCCAGTGCCTGTGTGCTGGGCATGTGGGGACAGGAGGTGCAGGACAACCTGGATGGACCATCCTGGACCAGCACGGCTCTGGCCAGCACTGAGTCCTAGAGCCTAAGGAAGCAGAAGCCCACAGCAGTGGCTTCTCTACCTGGGGATGCAGACAGGAGCAGGGAGCAGGTGCACGTCCAGTGGCCTCCCCTGTTTGGTCAGCCCACAAACTGAGCTGCCTCTGAGCAGTGCAGGTGAGGAGGGCACAGTGCTGGCCACCCACCCTCCCTCCCTCCTCTCTCTCTGCAAGCCCAGCGCCTGTGGCTGAAACACCTGGCCTCGCTGTATCCTCAACAGGGCCTGGGGGCACCTGCAGCGCTGGGCCCATCCCACCCTCCCCCAACCTGGAGGGAGAGGCCCGCAGCTTCCAGACCTGCTCAGTTCTCGCTGCCTGGAGAGCGCCTTTATTTCTTACAGTGAATTACCCTCTAGACTTCCCCTAAAGGTGATCCTCTGGGTTCTCTTCACACGTTCTTCACCTTCTCATTTCTGTGGCCTCTTCTCATTTTGTCACATCCACACTGTATCGTGCTGGTCTGTACATTCAGCTCCTTGAGGGGGGCTCCAGGCACATGAGCCCCACGGCAGCCAGTGCAGAGACACTGACAGGCAAGTTAGCTTTCTCAGGTGTGCCATCCCTGAAAACCAAGACTGAGAACAGTCCTGCCAAACACTGTTTGCCACTAGCCCCTGGATCAGGACAACCAAAAGAAGGGTGAGCAAAACGAGGCAACAAGACCTCCCAGAGCAGCTAGTTCCAAGAACCCCCCTGCCATCCTCCTATTCCAACCAGTGAAGGAAGGCTCTGGACTCCTCGCGGCTCTTCCCAGAGCAGAGCTTCCAAACTGCTGTCAGTCCCGCTTTGTGGCCTAAACAATTCTTTGTGCGTGTCTCCCACCCAATGTTCATGCACCAGAATCTCCATGTTTCTCCTTGAGTTGGTGCACATCTTTCAGATTGGAGAAAGCAAGACTTAACTCAGGACTTTTCTTTATTTCTTCAGGACAGTAAGATACCTTATAAATCAAAGTAAAAATTGCCTTAAGACATCCCACAATGTTTTACTGTAATACTGAATTTTTCTTGTGGTCTATTAAATTGCTCTTCTACTCTAGACAAGTGGAAATACTGTAAGTAGATCTCCAAGGGGTGCTTTTATAAAAGTTCAGTGTTTCTTTTAAAATACTGTCAGTGATAGACATTAAATAACATTCTACAGTCATCAAGAAATTAAAATTGCAAACTTAACAGTGGTAATTCCAGCACTGTATCTTGAAGGTAAAGGAGTGCTGAGTGGATTCTGATGGTGGGGACACAGAATTGCAGCTGTTGTGTACAAATGGCAGTCAGACAAGATGATGTACCTAATAGGGAAGTAGCCAGTCACCAGTCCTGGGAGCAGGAGGGTCACATACATTATGCACTGGGAAGGGAAAATGCAATACCACAGGCCACTTCCTTGTTCTTGTCTCACGCTGGGATCAGCAGGCACCCACCGGAGTCAAGACAAGGAACTGTGGATCCCTTCCAGGAGCAGACGACTCAGCCCAGGGTCCCACCTCCTCGGCTCGTGCACTGGACAGACCTCACTCACCGTCCTGTGTTCCCACAGCATGACTGTGGACAGAGTGTGGTTTAACGCAGAAGCTGGGGAAGGCCAGAAAGCCAGGGGACCCAAACCGGACTGTCTGAGCCTTGGACCCCGACTCTCCACTCCAAGTCCCAGGGCTGCTCTGAGGTTCCACTAGGCACCAGGTTCCTCATACAAATGTTGGTGGGAATGCACACAGTGAGTGGTTTTTTTAAGTCACGTATCAAGCCTTTTAGTGAAATGCATGAGGTTAACCATGCCAATAAAAATAATTCCCTATTAATATGTAATACAAGCATATTCATTTAAGGGTTATCCATTGTTTCTTCCTCAAGTGTTTTTTAAAATAAACTGAGTTCCTTTAGAGGATACAAGTTTACTCAAAATATTATTTTTTTTCCTCCCCCAAAATTATAACACTGGGTAGAAAATCTGAGACTGTGAAAATGAAGCATATCACCCAAGATAATTATGTGGTAATGACTTGGAAGGGGAAGAACAGGAGAGGTCGGTTGTCAAACCTGCATATCAAATGATTGTCACAGGAATCCCTGAGCCATAGAAGTTGCTATGTTATGTTTCTTCGTGGCCTTTATTGACTGAACCTGGGAGGAAGGCCTGCCCTCCACCTCCAGAAGAGCAGGACCGAGCACCACCGGCTTCCCACCCCCACGCCCCACTCAGTCTGCCCCACGCACCTCCACCAGCCTCCAGGCCTCGCTGATGACCGCGTACTGGAGGCGATTCAGGGCAAAGCCGTCCACCTCCTTCAGGACTCTGACTGGGGACTGTCCGATCTTCTGCATCAGCGCATGGGTTCTGGCCACCGTAGTGGGGGCCGTCTCCGGGTGTGGGACCAGCTCGACCAATGGGACAAAATATGGCGGATTCACCTTAGAGAGGGGGGGGGATGGTCAGGGCAGCCCTGGAGTCGGCGGTCACTCTGGAATGGCCAGACAGGGCAGATTTACCTTTGGAAAGGCTCCTTCACATGCTGCATCTAAGGACAAGAAACTCGAGAAATGAAGTAATGACAAAGCAGAGAGAAAAACAAAGAACATGAGCACAAAATTGCATGTTTTGCCTGAAGACGAGATTTCACAGGCTGCTGCCTACCCCAGCCTCCTCCACCTCTGCCATCATACAGATTCTGCCTTTCCACCATGTCAGTGTTAAAAATGATTGGCAGCATCTTCCTGAAACTTGGTATTTCCTTAATTTCTCCATGTTGAACCTCTCACATCTGCTCCCCGATCAGATCTCACCTAGTATCCACAACCGCGACATTCTCATACCGTCCGGGGCTGAAAGGGTCTGGGATGAGTGGGCCTGATGGAAATGTCCACCTAGCACCACATTTAAACTCTTGGTTTGCGTTTTCTTGGTTTATCTTGAGAGGTCATTAAACATTCCCAAAGAGATTTATTATATGGCCAAAGAAGATGCTGCTTGGTGGAACCTGACTCGCCTCACCCCTAACCAAATGCACTACAGCCGGCTATTCCCCAAATGGTGCTTTTGCTTCCTTCCAAGTATGAGTGAATATTGGCAGAGACTCGTATTTACTAAATAACTACGAGAAGCATACATTTTGAAATGATATCTACAGGAAAAGTGAAGAAAAATTTGTTCCTCCAAGGACACTGACTACGAGAAGCACTGGTCCACACACAGCCCCTGAGGTTCCTTCTGCTCCTGGCCTGCCCTGCCTGTACTTCTGCAGCCCTCCTAGAAGTAGAAAGCAAGACAGAAGGGTATCTGTTTTCAAATCAATAAGTTATAAATCAATGCCTCACCTGAACCACTGGTCTCCTACCTAGACTCATTGACTTCTGATAAAAATGTTTAGCCTCTGGTCTTTTTAAAGACCAGTATTACAAGAACTGGAAGCCTATCTATCTTGGATAAATTTAACAGGAGGGTTTGTCCAAAACAATCCAGTCTACCATCGCAAAAGTGGAATTCTCCCTCTGAGTAATTTGTTGTATGTCTCCTGCTGTGCCCAGTGGCAGGCCCTGGGTTATGGGGGTAAAGACCTTTTGGAGCCAGAGGAAGATGTGTATGCTCCTTCGGTCATTATCATGTGTTTTTTTCTCCCTGTAATTCCTCTTGAGAGCAGCTGTGATACAGTGCTCATATTCTGACCTCACCGGACCACGCAGTAAGTGTGTGGTCCTCCCACCTGCCCAGCAGCGTGCACTCTGGCTTAGTGGTGGATTTTGTTTTGCTCCCTTGTTGCAGCACCCATGCAACACAGCAGAGAGATGAGAGGAAGGGACAGAAAAGATAACCAGAGCAAGTGACTGCTACAAAGGCAAAGAATGGCTGTGCTCCTGAAATGCTCTTCTGTCTGACAGGGATACAGGACTGGCCTTCAGTTGTCGGAGCCTATGAGGAAGATTGAGAAACATGTCCTCAAGAAATGGGAAAACACACACACGAGAAAAGGAGGCACCTTCCTGAAAGGCTCCACCAGCTGGCCGGGCTCTGCAGGAGAGCTGGGCTGCACTTTGCCGGAGGCACAGGGGTGGACTGCGTGGCCTGGGGGCCATGGGAGAGCTCAGGCCGCCAGGGCGGCACAGTAGGGGCCTCTCTCCATCCGCCTCCGTGAATAGCCAGCCTGAAGTGGAACAGGGCCTGGGAAGCATGTGATCCTGGCGATAGCACAGCGCATCCAGCACACAGGATTAGTCATTTCCTAGGCAGCAGATGAAACGAAGTTGAATTCAGAGAGGAAAGGCAGGCTGAGCCTTCTCCTGGAGGACAGCGGCAGTGACCTGCAGCTCACTCACACACCCGCTGGGGCTGGGCCGCTGCACTCCAGCTCAGGGCAATTGTTCTTCCTCTGGACAACTTGGGTGGAAAAAGAACGGGCTTCTCGTTTACAACTGATTGAGAGGATTTAACCCCTTGGTATTTGCCATAATTTATGAAAGTCCTTCCGTCATGACAATACCCGCCCCTCCCCGCCACCATCCTCCTGACTTGCCCTCAAGAGAGAGAAAGATTCAGCCCGTCCAGGCCACGGGAATCTGTAATCTGAATCAGGTAGTGCTGTGCAGTGTGCGAGGGACGTGCAGACACACACGCTCGATGAACGGCAAACCCGTAAATGCAACATTCAGATTACTATCAACATGAGGGCAGATGGTTTCAGGGCCTGGTGGGGAGTGAGTCAGAAGAGGCTCAGGCACAGGCAGAGTGCTCAGACGGGGCCCTGCAGGCCCCTTGCGCAGGCAAGGCCGGACTTCAGTCCAGGACTTCATCACAGTCCACGGCTGACCAGTAACCGGGGTTAAAGCTGTGCATTTGGAACTGCTTCCACTCAAGACTGTAATCCCGTGATGAGCAGACGTGAATCCTTCCAGGGCAGCCTCATCTACAGAGCATCTGTAAGAGGCAGGAGCGGCACCGGGCATGCCCGGTGGGAGAACGAGGCCTATCAGCTCCATCAGAGCACCCCATTTCCAACAGAAACAAGGAAGAAAAGGGGAAAAGCTTTTGTAAAGTGTGGCTAAAGCCATCAGTGGAAAACTGCTGTTCTGATTGATTGCTACATAGATTCTAATTACCAAGAGAGACTCTAACCCAGCTCAACTTCCAGACCATCATGAGCAAACACCTCCTAACCACCCAATGGCCTGAGCCTGTCTACACCTCTACAGGGAGCCGGGACAGACAAGGAGAGGCAGCATAAAACCAGTGGGGAGAAAGGGTGTCAGGGACACAGGGAATAGCCATGTTAACACTCCTCCAGACCTGTCACCTTTTCTCGTTTTAGTCTGTGAAGCCCACTCCAAAATCCCATGTGAACCACCTGGACTGAGAGAACGTGCCCACCTAGGAGGGATTCCACTAGCCACCACTGCTGAGATGACCTGAAAACTGGAAAAGGTGCCCAAGAGAACGTGTGTGATGTCGAAACCTGTTGACTGGTGGCTCTTCCGTGGGGGGGTGGAGACAGCAATCTTTTGCAATAGCTGAATATCTACTTTCAGAGGCATGAACAGGCTTCCCTTTCCTTTATTCCATTTCCTGTCCAGGCAAAGAACCATGGGTGACCAAGCCTGATGTTGACGGTGTGTGGGTATGTGAGCTGACACGCGGAACCTCTGCTCTCTGGCCTGTTGCTCCTCAAAGATTACAAACAGCTCTGCGTTATTTAGGCACTGCCCATCCAGCTCAGGCTGACTTGTTCTAGATGTTTTGTTCGCTGCTCTCCTAGGGGCCAGTGGAATGATCACAAGGCAGCCGCAGGAGCACAGAAGAAAGAAGGGATCAAATTCCAAAGACAGTCCACTTGAATGCTTTGATTTGCTTTAATGTCGGTTTTGGTTTAAAATAATTTATAAAAGTAATGAGAGATTAGTTTTTAAAATAAGGTAGGACTTACTTTGACTATGCTGTTTGTCTTTATTAGATAAATAAAAGCGAGCATCACTGTAGTGGTATGAGGGGAGAAGTGCCACTGTTCTACAGCTCCGTGGTCGGAGGCACTGTGCCACGTGTGGCATAGAGGAATGTGAATAAGGGTGGTCTTGCCCATCATGAGGTTCAAATTGAAGAGATATAGGAAAAGTCTTGGCAAAGGATTTAGGAGATATTTTCTGAATAATTTGATTTGGTTGTTTTTTAAAAAACTAATTTTAATGTAAAAACACTGGTTAGAAATTGGAAGCTTCCAAGCAAGAGGCTCACACCTGCCATAGAAGCAATCAGGTAACAGCTCAGGGAGTGGTTCACAGCTCCTGGGAGCCCTCTTTACAGGCATGGGAATGTCACAGAAGCAAGAACATGACACACTTCGTGGGGCTCGGTGTTGGATGCTTCTGTTAAGGGCCCTCTTGATGCTAATTTCATCTGTATATGAGTGGTAACTAAATGTTACTGGTGTCTTCTATGTCCTGTGGGTCTAAGTCTCATTTTATAACCATTCTTCACACTTTCCATTATCCATCAGTCTTAGGACACCCGGACATGCAGAACCACATGCTGACAGACCCAGGATGTCCCTCTTCTCAGAATGTAAAATCTGGCAGGCACCATACCTTACCCTTTCTCTTTCCCTCCCTCAGCAAACCTCCCCACTCTAAACTACTTTTGCTCAGAAAGCAGACTTTCCCTGCCCTCAATCCTAGGGTCCCTAGCCTCACCTAGGCCCTGGTCACTCACGTGTAGGTGTGCTGCCCCAGGTTCTGTACAGGAGCTGGCCCCTCTCTACATTCAGTGTAGAAAGATGTTCAGATCACGCTCCAAAGGAAGCATTCCCATTGCTGCTCAGTGCTGCTCTGCACATCAACTGGCCCCGGTTCTTTGGAGTAACTCCCGTGATTCTCCACAACCCAACCGCCTCCAAGCCTTCCAAGGTTGTTTCCTTCTCCCCAGGTGTGCGCACCCCTAAGCCAAGCTGGTCTCCTCTCAATCCTGCACAGCCCTGTCAGTTTCTGGCCAGGGTCTTGCCTTATACTCTTGCCCAGCCTCACTCTCCTCCCCGTCAGTCTAGCTGGATCCAGCCAGTCTGGTGCCCACTTCTCAGTGTTCTTCTCCCGCCTTCACCTCGGATGGCCTGGTAGGTGGGGGGTGGTCATCATCATGTACAGTCAGATTCACTATGGCTTCGTAACAAAGTGAGCCTTTCTGTCCTAACAGTCTTTCCTGGTTCTCTAAGGTCACGTTGGGCTCACAGACCTCAGATGTCCACTGAGTGATCCTCGAACTGATTCCCCTTTGAGGGAAGGGGAGTTAACACATTAATGTCAGAAAGGTTTAATGAGGGCTTGCATGCCAACATGGAGCTCACTGTCCAATATTCCTCATCAATTACTCCTAGTGGGTAAGTTTGCTCAGTAATTATAGCACATAGGTGGAAGGGAACAACAAGAAAAAGGAGGGGTTTAAATCAGGTGTACCCATCCAAAATCTCAGGAGTGGGACCCAGAATCTGCACTTCAGCAAAATGAGTCCTACTACAAATTGTATTCAGTAAACTACACAGTACAAGTGACACAACTACAAAAGTCCTACTCGATGGGTACATTTTTTAGTATAACACTTTTTCCATGGTAGAATTATCTGTTCAGTAAGTCTCTCTCCTCAAGTAGACAGTGCTACTTGAGGGTGAAAGTCTGCAGGTATTGTTCATTCTATTCCATTATGCACTGCGTATGCAGATACAATCCAGGGAATTTTTGGATAAAAGTCTTTCTAAAAATGCACAACTCTCTAAATACACTAAAACCATTGACTTGTGCAGCTTGAATTGTGTGGTATGTGAATTACAGTATCTCAGTAAAGCAGTTAAAAAATACTAGTGAATTAATAAAAAAAAGTGTTGCTCCTGAAAACCAGAATAGGATACAATTAATTCTCAGAGTTTAACATACTCACAGGATGGGCCACAATGCATTGCTTTACATGTGCCAGACCAGCAAACAACTTGGAAGGTAGGAGACAAGAGCTGGAGCTGCTTAAGACAACTTTATCATCGATGATTTGATCTAACTGAGCAAAAATCTTCTTCTTCAGTTCTAGGTTTTCTGGAACACATTCCTGAAAAGGACATATTCAAATTACTACTCATGATCACTGCACTCAGTCAGGCCTCAAGCAAAGCACTTCATGTTTGATTCATTCCAAAAGTGAAACAATTAGAAAATCATCAGCAAAATTAAAAAAAAAAGCTGCCAAAAAAAAAAAAGATAAATCTTGATAACTCTGGAAACTGGGTGGTACATATATGGGAGTTGTATCTTTTGCATTTGTGTGGGTATGAAAATTCTCATAATAAAAATGTCTGTCCCTACTGCTAACATCATACTGAAAAAAGCTAAAAACTTTTTTAAGATCAGGAATAAAAGACAAGAATGTAGATTCTCACCACTGTTATTCAACATAGTATTGAAAGTCCTAGCCACAGCAATTAGACAAGAAAAAGAAATATTGGAAAGGAAGAAGCATTCAAATTGGAAAGGAAGAAAGAAGTAAAACTGTCAGTATGATGACACGATACTATATATAGAAAATCCTAAACACTCCACCAAAAAGCTATTAGAAAAATTAATTCATCAAAGTTGCAGGATGCAAAATTAACATTCAGAAATTGGTTGAATGTCTATATATTAATAACAAACTACTAGGAGGAGAAATTAAGAAAATAATTCCACTTACAACTGCATCAAAAGAATAAAATACCTAGGAGTAAATTTAACCAAGCAGGTAAAAGACCTGTACTCTGAAAACTGTAAGACACTGATGAAAAAAACTGAAGAAGACACAAGTAAAAGGAAAGCTATCCCATGCTCATGGATTGGAAGAATTAATATTGTTAAAATGGCCATACTACCTGAAGCAATCTACAGATTCAGTGTGCTCCCTATCAAAATATCCATGGAATTTTTCACAGAACTAAAACAAATAATCCTAAAATTTGTGTGGAACCATAAAAGACCCTGAACAGCCAAAACAATCTTAAGAAAGAAGAACAAAGCTTGAAGTATTATACTCCCTGATATTAAAATATACTACAAAGTTATCATAGTCAAAACAATATGACACTGGCATGAAAAAAAGAAACATAAATCAATGGAATAGAGAGCCCAGAAATAAACCCACACATACATGGTCAATTAATATATGACAAAGGAGGCAAGAAATAGGAGAAATGGGGGAAAACTGGACAGCTCCATGCAAAGGGATGAAACTGGGCCACTATCACATGTTACATACAAAAATACATTCAAAACAGATTAAAGACTTGAATGTAAAACCCAAAACTATAAAACTCCTAGAAGAAAACATGCAGGAAACTCTTTGACATCAGTCTTAGCAATTATTTTGGACCAGTCTTCTCAGGCAAGGGCAACAAAAGCAAAAATAAACAAGTGGGGCTACATCAAACTAAAAAGCTTTTGTCCATCAAGGGAAACTTTCAACAAAATGAAAAGGCACCCTACTGAATGGGAGAAGATATTTGCAAATCATACATCCAAAATATATAAAGAACTTAATTTAACATCAAAACAACCCAATTAAAAAATGGGCAGAGGACTTGAATATTTTTCCAAAGAAGATATACAGATGTCTAATAGACACATGAAAATATGCTCAACATCATTCATCATCAGGGTAATGCAAATCAAAATGAGATACCACTTTGCTCCTGTAAGATAGTCAATTATCAAAAAGATTAAAAATAATAAGTGTTGGCGAGGATGTGGCAAAAAGGCAACACTTGTGCTCTGTTGGTGGGAATGTAAATTGATGCAGTCACATTGGAAAGCAGTATGGAGATTCCTCAAAAAAACTAAAAATAGAATTACCATATGATCCAGCAATTCCACTTTTGCATATCTATCCAAAGAAAATGAAAACACCAACTCAAGGAAATATATGCACCCTATGTTTATTGCAGCATTATTTACAATAACCAAGATATGGAAGCAACCTTAGTGTCCATCAATAGATGAATGGATAAAGAAGTGGTACATATACACAATGGAATATTATTTAGCTATAAAAAGAATGAAATCTTGGCCATCTGTGACAACATTGATAGACCTAGAGGGTATTCTGCTAAGTCAAATAAGTTAGACACAGAGAGACCAGTATTGTATGATTTCAGTTATATGTGGAATCTAAAAAAACAAAACAGAAACACAAACAGACTCATAGACACAGGAAACAAACTGTTAGTTTCTAGACTCGGGAGAGGTTGGGAGATGAGAGAAATAAGTGAAGGGGATTAAGAGGTATAAACATCCAGTTATAAAATAAATGTTATGGAGATGAAAAGTATAGCATACACAATAGGGTCAATAATAACTCTGTATGGTGACAGAAGGTAACTAGACTTATAGGGATCATTTTGTAATGTCTAAAAGCATTGAATCACTATGATGTACACCTGAAATTAACAGGATATTGTATGTCAATTATACTTCAATTAAAAAAAGTCTGCCAGCTGAAAAATCTTATAATGAAAAAGTTCGCCAACTATAGGGGTGTGGATTCTATAAAGAGAACACGCAATAGCACCTCAGGCAAAGTGCTTTAAACATCAATAGTCATCTTCACCACTTATTTTCCCTATCTGTTCTGACCATCAGATCAACTTATCTTCAAGGAAATATCTTATCTTCATGAAATGAACAAACATGCTACATCCACAATTCCCCAAAGGCTTCTTGAGAAACCATTTCTAATTGGAAAACCTTTTGAAAAAGACCTTTGTTTCTAAAAGTCTAGAATTACTTTAATAGGGGTAAGAGAGGAGGGTAGAGAGGCAAATTTGGATTAAATACTGTAGATAACACGTGCTCTGAAACTCTAAGCACAGGCAAAGCTGGGGTGGGAGTGTGGCGATGTTCTTGCACATCCCATGCCGGCTGGTGGTGGGGCACGTCTCCAGGAATGCGATACACACGACGGATGCTGCCCTGCTGTGGACGGAAGTGGGACGGGAGGAGGATTCTGCCCAACAATGGGAACAGCAGAGGCGTCCTTCCCCTCGTGCCACCAATACCTCTGGGAAATCACGCCAGGGTTATGCCTGCCCAAGAAGGGTCCCAGCTACCTGGAGGGGGCAGGCCCCGCAAGGGGAGACATCAGGAACTCCCAACATTCCCTGGTGAACTCAGGATAATTATTCTCAGTACAGAATCATCTGGGTGCTTGCAAATTCTCAGGAACCACCCCCACCCCATCCCAGACCTACTGAATCTGTCCTGGGGATGGCGTCCAGCATCTGCATTTTTATCAAACATTCTGGTGATTTTTGTTCCTGCTTACATTTGAGACCCACTATTCTGAGGTACAGATCCAAAGTGTGGGTCATTAATAGTCCCACTGTGGGGTGCTATGAAATACATCCTTAAGGCTCTGGCCCCTCCAGTGTCAGGGCTCCTTCCTCTCCACCTCCTCCCGCTACTCAGGGACCAACCAAATATCCTCTGATTAGTACATTAGCACTGTGGCAGTACAAAGAGTATTAACACTAGCAAATAACCAGAAATGTGCAAAGTTAGAAGTGCAGTGCTGACAAACTACTAGTAATTATATCAGAATCGCCCCTCAAAAATCAAGAAAATATTTTTTAAGTTTGATTTAATAATATCTAATAGTTAATAATTTCTAATGTATTGAAATCAGCTGTGTTCATATTATGACATGAATTCCATATCTATGTCATCTACAAGATTTTAAAAGTTCCTTTAAGCGTAGGGAGTCAATATTGTGTTTGTTTGTGCTTTTAAGAAATATAATCAAACCATGTGAAATTTTATTAAGAACAAAGGGTCATATAAGTGCCACATTTCAAAGACAGAGAAAAAAGTGGAGTTATTTAAGAACTGTAAAGCCCATTGTATTCAATCCCTTTATCAGAAGGGGAAAAAGCTACAGTAGCTGGCTGGTTTTATTGAGTAATTCCTGGATCAGTTAAGTCTGCAAGTTGGGTTAAGTTTAAATGGAGCCTTGTAGTAAAGCCAGAGACTAAGAATGATACAGATACTGTTTAAACTAATAAAAGAGTCCCAGTGAATAGCCTTATTGTGAGCCTGTCATGCAGATTCTCCCCTGAAATTCTATGCCTTTCTTCAGATTGTTTGATTATCAAAGAGGCAAGAACACTTGAACCAGAGGAAACCCAAACCTGCCACAATTATGTAAGGGTTTTTAATGGCACATTTGAAGTTTTGTTGTTGTGTTGTTGTTTTTAATATTACCCAACTGTGTTCAATTTTGGGAACCAGGATTTGAATGCCTCTGTCCATGTCAAGTCTTGAGTTCATTTCCGTGCTATTCATTCAGCAGCCAATATCCCTTGTCTGAGAAAGGGAGTTTGAAACACTATTAATCAGGACCTCCATCACTTCTGCGGTTGATTACAAAGCTAAGAGAGGCTACAGTCATTCTCTTTGCCCTTAAAGGACTGGGAGGAAAGGCAGGAAAGAATGTCAAACAATGAGACAACTGAGAGCTAGTGCAAAGCAGCCTTGCTGTCTGAGCCACAGCAACGCGACCAGGTGAGAATATGCTCCTGAGCATTCTCAACTCAAAGCAGATTCTCAGGGGTCCTTTCTAGGGAAAGCCACAAGTGAAGTGTTAAAAAAATTCTATCACTACTGAACATAATTAGCTTGATTTTCCTTAATTAAACTGAAAGTATTTTTTTTTAAATTACTATTATTTGTGTTTTGTTTTGGGGTGAGGAGGAGATGCAACACACAACATTATTTTCTCATGCACAACCGAGATGATAGGTGTACTCAAATTGTAACAAAAAAAATATTCTAGGAACAAGAAAAGCACAACATGACTTTCAAAATATCACAACTATTAGTGGTACTGAAAAAGAAGTTTATTCATCTCAGGCAGTATCAGATAGTTAAAGGGTGGGGTTAAGTTTAAATACTCCTTTTTCCCTTTCTTGATAGGAAAAAAATGAATGACAGTGTAACTCGGGGGTAGAATTCCAGGGCAAAATACCTTTGAAACCGAAATCAATCAAAGGGAGAAATAAAGTTTAAGAAACCCATCTATTGCTTGTAGGC